TATATTACAGGAGAAATCATATTGTTTAATTAATATTAGTCAATAATTAATAAGAATAAATTTCATGGCTAAAAGACATTAATTAAACTTAAGGGACTAGAACTGTCAATTGTATGATAGTTGAATATTGGGCTAATGGACTCCATATTAGAGGGGTAGACGAATTCTATGGGGAAACCCATTAGAAATCATCCAAGGCCTCTAAGGAGGGAGTCCATGGGTTGCTTAGGGCCTAAGCAGTCAAATTAGGGTTTCATTGTTAGATAACCCTAATAGCCTCACTATTTAAAGGACCCTTGAAACTTAAAAACGGGGGGGGGGGGGGGGGAACTAATTCCTTAGGGTTTCTACACGTTTTTGGGTGCCTCCTCTCTTATCATTCTTCATCCTCTTGCTCTTGGTGCTTGTGAGCCATTAAAGGAGTGACAGTTGTGACTCTAAGCTTTCTAAAGGCAATTCAAAGGAGGATTTGAGATTGTTATTGCTACATAACAATCAAGGTAAGATCTAAACCCCAATCTTATGTTAATATGATTAATTGTATGCTAGATCTAGGGTTTATAGCTGTGGATATTCAATTGCATGTTCATTAGACAAACTAGATCCAACAGCTATTAGGGTTTGCATGTACACCATAGGAATGATGTTTTGCTCAAAACCCATCAATAAAGAACGTCGAAAACGGAGTTTGTATGCGAGAATTATGATTTCCTGAAGTTCGAGGCATGCGTTCGGAAAGGGAACGCCTAACGTTCATTACTAGGCCTCGGATTGGCCATGTTGCCCTCTAGTCGCATAACCATCAGTTCTGAAGCTCGGTAAGCAATGACGCACCGGAGCGCGCTGCGTTCGTCCAAGGAACGCGCTACGTTCGGAGGCCAGCCTCACCCTATAAATAGAATGTGAGGCCAGCGAAGTTGTTTGCTAATTTCTTTCCTTTTATCCCCCTTAAACTTTCTTTTACTTGGGAAGTTATACCCCCGAAGCCTCGGTATCATCCCAAGACCTGAAGCAAGTCCCGAAGCCCCGAAGATCCCGAGAAATAGAGTCGTCAAGCCGAAACTCTGCCCGCGAGAAGTCCAGTTTTTGTGAATATCTCCCGGTTTCATCGAAGAATATTATTTTAGGAGCCGTAGAGCTGTCCGATAATTGTCTTATCAAGTGATCGTGTAGTTATTTTCTTCTACCGCATAAATATGAAGTATTTGCTATGAAATACGTGTTATGTGTTTATATGTTGTTTGTTTACTTGAGATGGTTGTTGAATGAAGGTTTTATATAGGTTTTTAAATGAGTTAGACTATATATGTAATTTATATCTACAAATATGTTGGGTAGAACATGGGTAGATGATATAGTTGGTGTGTGATGAAAGATGAGTTTAAAACAAAAACCATAAGCTTTGATACCACTGATGGGTTTTATACAAACAATCCTATGTGTGCATGCCACCCTAGAAATTGGATCTGTGTTTTCACTATTAGATACACAACATTATGAACACATGAAGAACCCTAGCATGCCCTTATCAATTTTGAAAATCATAAGTTGATATGGTTTACATACCTCTTGTTGTTATGTAGTAATAACAACTTAAATCTTGAATCCCCTTATCCTTGAAAACAAGTACCACAAGTGTAGTACTTCTAATGACTCACAAATACCAAGAGCAAATGGAGAGGAAAGAGAGAGAGAGAGAGAGAGAGAGAGAGGAGGCTGCAAAATTCAGCCTTAGGGTTCTCTTAGAAGCAAGTGGTCGAATTCTGTAGCCTAGGGGCCTTATTTATACTGTGAGCAGCTAGGGTTTCCTCCAGAACCCTAATGGACAACTTAGACATTAAGCAGCCCATGGAACCTTCTGGAATAAGGCCATGGACGAAAATATGATGGGCTCCCATCATAATTTCGTTCATCCCTTTGTCCCATTGGGTTTCCCAGCCCAAAATCCAACTATCACACATTTGACAGTTTAAGTCCCTTTATTCAGTTAATCTCTTTTAGTCACCAAATTAATTCTTAATTAATTTATGACTAATATTAATTAAATAACATGATTTCTTTTTTAATACATTATTCTTTTAATATATTAATAAACCATAATAACCTTTTTATCTATTATTTCTCCAGTCAAGTTGCTTTGGTGAAGGCAACCCAAAAGGACCATGCACAACTGGGTCAAGTACTTACCAAATATGGTTACGGGCTTAGACACTAATCCAACAAGTTGCCAAAACACCTCACGAGATGTGGATATGGAAGGTTCCCTCGTTAACACATATCAATGTTTGGGGCTGTGAAACTTTTGTTAGACGAGAGACTCACAACAAACTTGAAGCTCATAGTGAGGGATGTATTTTCATCGGCTATCTACATAAGTCCTTGGAATATTTGTTCTACAGACCTAGTGAGAACATGGTCTTTGTAGCACAATAGATCAAGGAGTACAAAACCAAACCCTAAGTCTAAATCATGACCTAAAAGCTCAATAGATCAAACATGGTTGAATGGGAGTGACCAAGATCCCATTTTATGGTCCACAAAGCTCATAAATGATGAGAGACACTCCTCATGAGGTCTGAAGTTGTTCAAACTCCCTAGATCCAAGGTTAAGGGACAAAACTCATCCAAATTCACAAGATAGATCTAACAAAAGGATCAATAATGTTTAGACTTTATACCTTCTGGAAGATGTTAAAGAAGAGTAGAGTCTGGATCTATAATCAATGGACTCCAAGCACACCTTCCAAGTTCTCCTTCTTCACCAAAAGCACACTAAAACTATCACTTCAAACTTCAAGGATCATACTAGGGGCTAGGGTTTCGAATTTAGAGAAGGAAAGGGTGAAGGTTGAGCATGTAGAGGCTCTTAAGAGATTAGAGCCTTTAAATAAGCCTCATAACCCCACAATTAGGGTTTGAACTCTGTGCACCTACGCCCTGCGTAACCAAAATTCACGCCCTACGTAGAACGTAAAGTGCATGCAGGGCGTAAAGTGCTCGCATGTACATAATGAATTACGCCATGTGTAAGTTGCTTCACAAATTAAGCTTAAAATAACTTAAAGAAATGTACGTGGGAACTAGGTGTTACACGCCACTACTTTAGAGCAAATTAAATTTGGAGCCCCAAATCATAAAAATGGAAAACCAAAAGAAGTTGAATTAGTCGACACTCTTGGCCCAAGCACAACTAGGCCTTACGAGTGCTATGTTCGAGGACATTTGGAATCTTTTTATGTTTGGTTAGTTTTCTTGTCTGTTTCATTATAGTTACGATATTGTTTTGTCGATTTACGCAGATTGCATAATGTTTTATTTTCTAATAAATTGTAATAGAATATGATGTATTTTGTGTTTTATGAGTATTTTATTTTTATATAATGATAACTATATAGGCATGTATGTGATGAAACAACAAAACAACAAACTTTAGAAAAGAGTCATTTTCTATAAAGAAAAAATGCCGTTTTTCTACCTAATTAAAAGGAGTTTTAATTATATAAATTTAATTTTGTTTTAAGTTTAAATCAAGACGAGTCTTTTGAAAACAATTTCATGAAAAAAAGAGTTTTTGAATATGGGATCAATCGAAAAACTTAGTAATAAAACCAAAGTTCTAAACACTCGTCATAACATGTAACGACTCTAAGATTTTTATTTGTCGTCAAACTTTAACAAAATATCTTCTTAACTCAAATATATATATATATATATATATATATATATATATATATATATATATATATATATATATATATATATATATATATATATATATATAGTCAAGATCAAATAAGAAGAAATTTTTTGGTAGGAAGGTAAGAAATTTTTTATATACATAGTTTCTTAGGAAAAAAATGAAATGAATCATTAGATGATTCAAAAGTAAGATGATTCACAAGGAAAAAATCCGGAAAAAACAATTTTATGATTCATTTTTAGGTAAATCTAAAAAAAAATCACTTTTATGACAATTTTAGTGAATATCAACAAAAGCATCGTAAAAATGAATCATCGAAATGTTTTTTCGGGATTTTTTTTGTGAATCATGTTATTATTGATTCATCTAATGATTCATTTATTTTGTTCACCAAAAAGATAAGTCGAAAAAATTTTTTTCTTACAAACAACATTAATCGTCACGTTTAAAAAAGCTTAAGGTTGAACATTACCGTCAAATCACACGTAACATTATTTAGAACCTTAAAAAAATCTAACGAATTTTTTTTTTTTTTTTTTTTTGGGTAAACTTAAGTCTCATGTCATCCTTTGAAAAACTTGTCAAATATCTTGCAGCTCAACACAGTAAAAAGTTGATAGTAAAAGGGTATGTTATGTAAATTTTAACAAAAGAAAAGAAAGTGGAGGATATTACTGATTTCAACCATACGTCCATAGAAGGTCCCCCGAAAACCTCTCATTCCTCAAACGCCTCCCACAACAACACGAGTCCTCACTTTAAGCAAGCTTCCTCCAGTTCTCTCTGTATCACTGAAAAATATGAAGCAGCTTTTCAATGCTCCGTTTGCATTCATCCATTTCCCACTTCACTCTCCATCTCTCTCCCTCCAGTTTTTTCCACAAATTTCAATTGCAAGAGACCGAAATAAGATTAGCATCGTCAACAACGCACAAACTTTTCATCATTTAGGTGACTTACCCGGTTAATTCGGATCCTTGATGTATTTTCTATATGAGATAAATTCTTAGTGCGCGTTTTGGTCTTTGATTGTGTGAGCGTCGACTTGTGTTGATTTCTAAGAATTAATTCGCTGGAAGTTCTGGATCTGATTTTGTTTAATCTAGCTATACTGTACTACGGACAGTGAATGTTGAATGATTAGTTTTCTCGATTTTTTGCGTAATTTTTTTTGTGTAGATTTGGTGTTCGTTTAGTGGAATCAATTATGTTTTGGTGGTGAATCGTGTAGGGATATTGAAGAGATAGAGAGAAGGTGAGACTAGAATAAGCATCAACAGGGAAGAAGACGAGAAGTGCAATGGCGTCGTCGTCGTCGACGCAATCCACTGAAACAGGCGGCTCATCGGCGCCGGCGTTAATGAGGCGACCTTCTCGCAGCGTTGCCGCGACGGTGACTACGGAGGTTTTTGACAGCGAGGTCGTTCCTTCGTCCCTGCAACAAATTGCTCCGATCCTCCGTGTCGCCAACGAAATTGAACATGAACGACCTCGCGTTGCTTATCTCTGTATGTCTTCTCTCTCATCCTTGAACTCAAATTCACTATTGCTATGAATTTCCATGGATTGTTTCATCTTAAATTCATCAAATAATTTTGATTCCACTGTGCCATTAGTTCTGAACTTCGGATTACTGTTGCTTACAAATCATAACAATTAACTACTCGTGATTTTATTTTTCTATGAAAAGGTCGTTCATATGCATTTGAGAAAGCTGATAGGTTGGATCGTAGCTCTAGTGGTCGAGGTGTTCGACAGTTCAAGACGACACTCCTACAACGTTTGGAACGGGTACACATCTTTCTAGTTTAAATCATTTCTTTGTAATATAGTATGTTATATTAATATTTTTGACAATAAAATAAAAATACATTGAATATAAATTATAAATACTCTTCGAACAAATATAATGGGGAATAAGGGAAAAAAAAACAATAATTATGTTTTATTTATGCTATATTTAGCGTATTAACTGAAAAACTAGTTGATAGCTGAAAAGCTAGCTGTTAAATAAAAAGCTAGTTGTTAAATAAAAATATAGCTGATAAAAAACAACGTGTGGTAAAACTAGTTAAAAATTAGTTGATAAAAAATAAAATTACATAAAAGGACATGTAAGGGTATGTGTTTCTATAATTAATTAATAACTGTATTTGGAAAATTTTAAAAAATCTTCTAAAAAGCTAGTCTAAATAGCTTTTCAAAAAGCTAGTTTATAAGCTATTTTTTGGTTTACCAAACACGACAACATAAAAAAACTCGAAAAATCAGCTAGTTGTAATGCGCCAAACACAGTCTTAGTTTGAAACGTCAAAATAGTTAATACCAATTTATGCACATAATTAATACCAATTTATGCACAACTAATTTGACTATATTATTATTATTAAAATTTGACTATATTATTATTATTAAAAATCAAATTTATAAACTACTCATATTAATCTTTAAGATATACAAAATGATATACTTAAGTTGGTCGATTTCTTTGTAGCTATATTTTCTTTTTCTTTTCTAAAAACCTACAAATTGTAAATTAAAATATTCCACAAAATATAAAAACTTATATTATAGAAAGAAACACACGAATCTTGATTCGAACTATAATAAGTTACTAACATATTAAAACTACAAAAAAGTCTACATAAATCACCATCGTCGGTGGTAATAATAACAAAGTAAAAAAGAAGCGATATACATACAACATTTCCATTAAAATATTATATTTAATAGGATGCTTAAATTCTTTGAAATAAACTAGTAAAGAGGTTGCGGCTACGCTGCTTTGGGGTATTACGGGAAAAATCGGCAAACTTTAAAAGATATATGTTGAAATTGTAAATCACCACAAATAAGGGAGAAAGTCGACAACCCCTAAAATTAGATGTCAAAAGTGTACAACCAAAAGAATGAACACTACCGGAGAAAATTAAAAAATGTTGTGACAATAATGTTAAAGTTGTCAAAGTTTGGAAAATATGGTGACCAAATTCAAAAGGAGGTTTTTTTTTTCTTTTTTATATCAAAATGTAAAAGTTTTTAGTACAAGGACGAAAAATATCAAATTCATAAAAGATTTATGGCAAAAACATAAAAAATGTAAAACTTTTGACTGTAAGGACTAAAAATGTCAAACTCACTAAAAATTTGTGGCAAAAGCCAAAAGACAGAAAAATTCAATCAAAACACAAAAATATAAAAGTTTTGAATTTAAGGACAAACAATATTAAATACACCAAAGATTAGTGGTAAAAACCTAAAACCCAAAAAGATACTATTCCAAATTTCATTTCTTTAATATATATATATATATATATATATATATATATATATATATATATATATATATATATATATATATATATATATATATATTTCAAACAACATCACCTAGGAATCCTTTGTTAATATATCGATCTTGATTAAGATTCTATAAACAAAAAATATCATGATCACATTGGTATTGCTTTTGAAGCAAGGTATATTCTTAAATTTTAGTACCCTAAATATGATCGTAAGATATTACCCTAATCTAATCCTTCATCATTAGTCTTTATACTATTTTAGTTTTCTAAATTATAAGAAATATGTCATTTATGCTAAAAGCACCCCATGCATAATATTAAAAAGTTGTCTATATATCTTAAAATTGAGCCAAATTTTTTCATGCATTCGACTCGAAATCGAATATCGCATATTGTAGGAAACTTAAGCATCACAACTTCATCGATACATTCACCTCGAATTAAGCAAACCATCACAACTACATGATAGTTCCTTTGTGATTTCGTGCTTTTAATTGTACTTGATCATGATGATTTTATTATTTTCTGTTTAACATGTTTTCTTTATAATTGTTGCAGTTTGCATTAATAGGAAATTATAATTACCACTTAAATAGTTAATTTTGATTCTGTCATTAATGTTTTAATCAACATCAAATTATAGTAAATACTATGCAAACAAGACCTAACGGGAAAACTTGAAAACTAGTTCATTTTAGTATGATCTTATGATCCTTGTCATTGATCATGATTCTAATCTTTCCACCACAATCTTGTAAAACATAAAATGAGCTAGGTGAAATCTCAATCTTGTAAAACATAAACCATAGTCGTTATCCAAGCCTTTTTTTGCCTCAAAACTAAGGCCCGCAATAACATGTTCCTTCCCTCCGCTCTAAGCTACGACCCAATGCGTTTGTCCCAACCTTTAGCTAATACTGAAGAATATGATTCTCTCAACCCTGAAAACGTGGTCTAAGTGTTTCAAAATATGAGCCTTGACCATAATGTTCACACTTGATGGTATATAGACACGATGGCGAATTCTCATTACATTATTGATATAGATATGTTCTACAAACCCTTGCGTTAGAGTTCTATGTGTAATGTTTTTGTTGGAAATAATCACAATATTATAATATAAGGTCGGGTAGCGCTAACATTCAACTCCTTTCCAAAACTTTTCATCTTAACAACACATTTTACACCACTACAAATTTAAAACTTGACTAATATTCGTCAAGTTACAAAGATATAATCAAGTTCCCTTTGAATTTAACCTGTATAAATAGAAGATCACAATTCACAATACTTGGGATGGCAATGATATGATCTTTCTGATCTTAGTCCCATAACTGGTTATGAAGCTATATCATAAATTTGTCTATGTGCTATCGGACCCCCGGTTAGTTGATATAGCCATATTATTTGGGGGCATGACCTTGGGTGTTGGGTATCTTTGTTTATGATATTTTCGGGTTAAAAATAGTCTTTGGATTTTACATTTTCTAAAGCCCAATCAATCTCATCTAAATAATAACTTGATTTTTGTAATAATTATAAATTGTAACATCATCGTCAACAAGTTTATATCTAAAAAATGTTACATAATCACACCATACAATGTTTAAAGTATCCGACAATTCAATGTACTGTCGACTTGGAGATTACATAACGAAATGCTAGAGGGACTTAATTCTTGTGATTTTAGTTTTTAATTATTAGGTATATTAGGATAATATTATGGATTAGGATACCACCAATCATAATGTTTCATCAAATTAATCAAAGCCCTCAATCATTTATATGTTTTTAATTATGTGCTTTATCCATCCGTCTATTTCACGTAGACTTAGAAAATGTATCATGTCGTGTCAGGGTGAAACATTAAATGGATTGAGATACATTGACCCTAACTTAGGGGTGGGCATTTGGATCTTAGGATTGGACCGGATAAAGAACTAGACCTGCATCGGACATGCTAGCCTTAACAGGTCTGGTCCAAGGTCAACCAATTTCTGTAAAACCGATCTAGTCTAAGAGTCGGTCGGGTTCGACTCGGTTCGATTTGGTCCAAATGCTCACCTTTATATCCAAGAACCGAAACATGGACCTAAACCTAATAAGCCTCAATAGGTTCAGTTCAAGGTTTATGAATTTCTAAAAAACCATTCCGATCCAAGAGTCGGTCTGGTCCAAATGCTCACCCCTACCCTAGTTGACCCGTTTAAGTTTCATATTGTGTTGTGTCAACCAATTTATTTTCATGTCGGGTTTTGAGTTAGGGTTTACAAAAGTAGATTTGTTGTGTCATGTCGGCTTGAAACACTCAACGAAGGCCTCCCCGATATATCTTGCAACATCTTTAATAACATGCTCTTACTTCGTCTTTCCTTTAATAAGTCATCAAATTTGATGCTTTTTTGATATCCAGTTGCTATGGGGGAGCAAGAGTTGGGCATGTAGAATTATGAAATTCATAGTAAGTTGAGAGGGGAAAATAGAAAGAGTATGATTTGGGGATGTCAACCCAACACGACATGTGTCAACCGTATAGATTAAACCTTAAAAAACTCATTCAACCAGAGAAAAATTTAAATATTTCAATAAAAATCAGGTTATTCCGTGGGTTAACCAGGTATGTTTGATGCGAGTATGGTTTCTATAACTCTTCTTGAATCATAATGATTAAGATTAGGGAGTTATTTTGTAATGAAGCCTCACACACCCTTTTTCATGTAGGAGGAGATGTGAGATGGGAATAAAACACAAATATACACATACTAAATCTGGTTCCCATAACTCTTCTTGCACCAAAATGCTTAAGAGTAACGAGGTTTGTAATGAAGCCTCATACATCCTTTTTTCATGTGGGAGGAGATGTGAGATGAGAATAAAACACAAATGTACACATACTAAATCTGGTTCCATAACTATTCTTGCAACAAAATGCTTAAGAGTAGTGAGTTATTTTGTAATGAAACCGCATACACCCTTTTCATGTGGGAGAAGATGTAAGATGGGAATAAAACACAAATGTACACATACTAAATCTCTATTTTCCTTCTTTCTTATATAATATAATATATTTGTAAATATATAAAATTTATAAAAAATTATATATTATTCAATGTGTCATATTCGAATTGAAAGTGTTGACCATAGTCCTACCTGTTTAATTTTGTGTCGTCTCGTGTCAACCTGTTTACTTAAACGTGTCGAAATCTCTTACCTAAACCTGTTTATTTTATGTTAGGATGTTGTGTCAGCTTTTGCCACTTCTAATTTTACGCGCTATAGCTTTTTCTCAAACCATGTTCAGCCAGCAGCTCTCTCTTGCTTAACTTTAACAAAAAAAAAAGCTTTATAATAAATTTAAGCTTTTTAAATTGATTTTCTATGTCACAAAAAACTTTTGTTAGGTGATACACGGTGTAAATAAGAATATATCATTGATGCCATTTCATTTTTATCTATGCAATGATTTGAATTTGTTCAATCCAACAT